TAGAGTTGGCTTCATGTTCTTTAGTAAAACAAAGAGTGAAGTGATTAGAAAAGAAAAACGAGAGAAAAGATATTGGAATAGAAAAACTAGAGAAAGGACTCTTTGGCAGGATATAGTTGAAGTTCAGTTTTACATATGTTAGGCTTGAATTGGTAAATAGTTATCAGAATAAAAATTGAGTATACAATTAGGTATCTAAGTCTGAGACTTAGAACAAGGGAAAGACTAGAGCTATAAATGAATCAAAATATCTATCAAGATCAATTGTCCACTGTCACAGAATCAATTGCAACTCAAAGCAACCATCCACTGGGATTTTGAGACTTTAAATATTTACAGGAGGAGACTGTCCATTTTTCTTCCATGAAGTTACTGATGGGTTCCAGTCTTCAAATTTATACAGTGTTCAGGTTATCAGAGAAAGTATCTATTGTTTCCATTGTCAGTACCAGTTAGACGTAATAGTTAAACTATTTATGACTAAATGGGATCATTTAAGAGAAAGAGGAGTGATGATAAGAGAAGATGGATGGAAAGGATAAATAGGAGAATATGGAGGAGATGAAAAGAGAGGAGGATTTGAATAACGACCTCATTATGATTGAACTACAGTAAGAGAGTAGAGATGTGCAGAAAATCCAGTGAAGACTGTGAATAAACAATAAGAGAATTAGAGGATGAGGGAGCTATGGTGAAATGTTATGTTCACATTGCCAATTCATCCTTGTGTGTTCACAGGGCATGACACAGACTAATAGAATATGTAAAATGTAATGGGGCAAATAATAATAATAAGCAAAAATAGATAAGCATTAGATATGATCATCAAGATAAAAGTGCAAAAATTTCCGAGTGGTTTTACATACAACATGAGAATTAAGAGCAGTTGAGGGACTTGTGAGAACAAAGTATTAATTCTGACATCAGTCAAAATGTGTTTCTGACTTGCTTTTTAATAGGCCCTATTATCTGATGTGTCCCCTGGGTGGCACAAACTGTTTGCATTCAACTACTAACCTAAATCTTGGGTTCCAAACTCATCCAACAATGCCATAAAATAAAGACCTTGTGATCTACTTCAGAAAATATTAACAGCCAAAGACAAGCTATAAAGCCATTCTACCTTGCAACACATGGGGTTTTCATACTTCAGATTAGACAAGGGGAAAAATTTGTTTTTACTTTGGTTATGTGACATAGTGAAGCTTGGTCATAACCAGAAGGTTGGTGGTTCAAATCCCCAGCCACTGCAAGAAAGAAAGAAGTGGTAATTAGCTTCCATAAAAATATACAGCCTCTGAAACTCTATAAAGACATTCTGATCTGTCAAATAGGGTTGCTATGAGTAAGCATTGAGTTGGTAGTAGAAATGTATTCTGAGAATTCTATTGGATAAAAGGAAAAATACAATTTGTCATAGTATAATTTAAAAATATGAACATAAGCTATCTGGGAGTACAAGACTGGTCACAGTTTCATTCTATTACACTATTAGTCACTATGGGTCAAAGCCAACTTAATGGCATCTAGTAATATTCATTGTTGTTGTTCTTGATTGCCTTTGAGTCAAGCATGACTCATAGCGACCCTATTAACAAAAGGCTTGAAGCCCTCTACAACCATCGACAATTATCAAAGTTCATAGAGTTTCCAGAGGCATGTTGTTTAGGAAGTGGATGCCACTGCTCCTTCCAAAGTACTTTGGGATAAATATTTTACTACAGAAGAGTGCAATTCAATTATGTTAGTGCTCAAGTGTTTCATAGCATGTATCTAAAATTTGTTTTCAAGTGTCCTTATGCGTATTTTGATAGTAAGTGACTGTGTACATACTCACTTGCATTAGTTATGTGTGTGTGCAGTCAGCATTAACTTTAAATAAAACTGAAAACATGGCATAATTTGTCAATTATGCTCCATGCATCTACATTTATGATTGCAAGAAATAAATTGGCTTTATATTGAGTTTCTATGGAGTAGTAGATTAATTTTTCACAATTTGTAGATAGGTAAATTTGTATGCTTATAATTCAATGCATTAAAGACATTTAATAGAGAATGCTAATGTATGAGACTAGTTTTTCAATATCAGCTGGTTCAGCATGATCAGAACAAAATATATATACTTGCTGTTGCTGTTATTAGGTGCTATCAAGTAGATGACTAACCATGGAGAAAAGATTTGGATCTTGTCCCTTGGTGCATCATCCTCGAGATTTCTGTCATGCTTATGTCGATTGTGTTAGTTACTAGTTGCTACATCAGTCCATCTTGTTGAGGGCCCTACTCTCCTTCACTAACATTCTACCTTTCCCAACAAGAAGGTTCTCTCCTGGATTTTCCTGAAAACATACCCAAAGTAAGGAAGATGAAGCTTCACCGTTTGTGGCTCTAAGGAGTTCTCTGGTTGTACGTCCTTCAAGGTTTGATGGTATTTCCTTCAAGACACATTTGTTTGTTCTTTTGGAGTCCATCATGGTGGAAACACTGCACTATCATGCAACAAAATATTTTATTCTTCCTAAATGTTTAGTGCTTTGCAGTTTTATCCAGTAGAATATAGCTCTTCTTATATTTAAGAGACATTTGTAACCCAAAGCTACATGTTAAATATAATTTACCTTTTAAGTTTTTCAAAGTCTGTATTCTGTAAAGATAATCAGATTATCTTGGAGCAAGGCAGCTTTACTATGATCCCCGAGCATTTGAATAAAGGCACAGGACAAGTTATCTAAGACTTAATTGTTAAGGAATAAAGCATAAAATGGATAATAAAACTTCTTCATTTTCATATTAGAAAGGTTTTCTTCTTTCTTCACACTAAATCACATTACTTTTTGCTTAAAGTAAAATGTAATTTGAATTCTGATGCAAATTAGAAAAGGCACTCTTTTAGGTGAAACATTTATTCACACTTTATGTGTTAAAATGCCAGTGGTAATTTGGGTGAATATCTAGGAAAAAATTACATCGTTTTATGCCCCTCTAAACCTGGAAGATATTCTTGGACACTTATTCTTCTACCAGGCAAATGTGTGTTCTATTCGTGTTTTTATTTTGAGGAACAAAAAAAAAGCATTTATTTTGTAGATGTTTAATATTTTCATGGCTCCCTTGTAAGTAAGAAATTCTAAATTATTAGCAAGTTAGTGTGATATATTTTGAATTAAAAATAAAAACACAGCCAAAAAACAACCAGTATTAATTGCTGTTGTGATGTGTTCCATTGAGTCAGAACCAACTCATAGCTGACCCTCAGAAGGTTTTCAGAGGCAGTGAACTGCACAAAAGGACATTTCCCATCTTCCTCCCACAGAGTGTTGGTGGATTCGAACTGTGTCCTTTGGGGATTACAGTGCATCTTCTTAACTCTTTTTGAAAGTATTGATTTTTGTCCAACTAAGTCCCCAATGAAACAAGCTTGGAAGCAGGAGTGGCATCCACTTCCACAGTAGCTTGCCTCTGGAAAACCTATAAACCTGGAGAAAGGATGAAAGTTATACAGGAGGCATCCAGGACTTTCATTCATAGAGTTGCTATGAGTTACCTGTGACTCGACGGCACTTAACAACAACAAGTCTTTAGAGAGCTTTTGTGCCTTATTGGTAAGGAGTCGTGCTGCCAACCCAAAGGCACATGGTTTGAATCCACCAACTGCTCTGCAGGAGAAAGATAAGCAGTCTTCTCCCATGCCATTTATTGTTTCTGAAAACCTGCTGGAGGGTCAGCTATGAATTGATTCTAACGTGATAGTAAACAGTAATAGCAGCAACAAACACATCTTTAGATGGAATCTATTTACAGTATCAAGTATTGATATCTCAGTGACAAGAATGTTTTCCAATAATTAAATACACAGCATTTATGAACATGTAACAAGAGTCTTATAGACTATTGCATGGATTGTCAAAGAAACAAATCCGTTTTGGAGGAAATGTAACCACGATGCTGCTTAGAGGCACAGATTGGTGAAACTTTGTCTCACATATTTTGGGTATGTCATGTGGGTCCAGTTGTTGGAAAAAAAGACATCATACTTAGAAAGGTCAGAGAAGGAGAGGAAGACTCTTAACAAGAAGGATTAACACAATGACTGCAACAATGGGCTAACTATATCAAAGATGGTGAGGAGGTGCAAATGAGGGCAAGGTTCATATCTGTTGTTCATAGGGTCACCATGAGTCATAGTTGACTCCATGGTACCTAACAACAGAAAAGGTGTCCCAGTCACATTATAAATGAATCCTTGAAGAAAACAAGTATCGTGCCTTTGAGCTGATTGTAACTCATGAAGAGACAATGGAACCACACTCACAGATTACTCAGTGACTGAAAGGCTTTTTTGTATTACTTTTTGGGCAGAAGATCAAAAGATTTATAGTTTGAATCCACCTGCCACGCTTTGGGGGGAAAAAAATAAAGCAATTTCTGTATTTAAGGGTCTTAGGAAGCAATTGGTATGTCCCTATGAGTTCAAATCAACTTAATCACAGTTAGTTCACTTTGGCTTTGATAATCTTGTAAAAGTAGTTTATCAGCGTGGTCTTTCTGCCTGTGTTACGGGGATACTCACAGTGCAAACCTTTTGGTTAGTAAGAAGCCATTGGAACGACCTAGGGTCTATCTGAAAATAAACATTATTGTTGTTGCATGTAATCCATTTCATTTCAACTCTTAACGACTCCTTATGATTGAGCAGAAATGACCCATTAGGTTTTCTAGGTTAGTTGGTTGTTTTGGAGCAGATCACCAGTCTGTCTTCTGCAAAGAAGTTGTTTCATTTTTAGCAATCAGGCTTTTGGTTAGCAGACAAGCACTTAAGGGTTGCACCATCAAGTCTCCTTGATAATGGATCAAACCCCCAAACTCACTTCCCTCTAGTCAATTCTGGATTAAGTGATCCCCCACTGAGTTTTTAAGGCTGTAATGGCATATCTAATTTCATAAATTCTAGAGGTTCAAATGTGTGGTTTTCTCTTACCATCTTGTTTTTGGTTTAGTTTCAGCCCCACTTGTGTCATGGAAGGCCTCGATGATTACCGCTGCACTGCCTGTCCACGAGGGTATGAAGGGCAGTACTGTGAAAGGTATAAACAATCGTGATACGTAAATTGTACTGAGTAATGATACTTAGAGATCTTAAAGGGACACCGTAGAACAGAACTCATTGTTTCCATAGTTCTATTGTTTTCATCTCTGTAATAATTTTAGTGAGCTCTGGTGACATAACCTGTACAGAGCTGTGCTACTAACCAAAGGGCAATCATTTCAAGTCCCACAGAACCCTGAAGGAGAAAGATGGGCAATTTCCTACCATGCAATTTGCAGCCTCTAAAAACCTACTGGAAGGTCAGATCAGCAATGACCTCTGACTCATGAGCACTTAGCTTTTGAAGTGTACTTTTAATAATATACTTTCGAAACTATTTCTATATTTATACTTTAAAAAGTTACAGTTTACTTCTCTATGATAAGCGTAGTTTCATGTCTGTGTGAGTTTATACACAAATATCAATTTCTAAAGGTTTATCTATCTATAAGTAAAAGGAATAAAGAGCTGGCCACATATGTTTAATTCTATTCCTATAAAATAGTGGCCAGTAATAACTGTGCTAAAGTATTCCATTGGCAAGTATATACATGATTCACAATACAAACCTTATCAGAAATTTTTAATTAGTACAAAACAACAGAATGCTTGTTAGTCACTTCTCCTTTTTAACAAACAAACAATATTATCTAAATTTTATCGTATTTCTTATAAAATCTAATAATGCAAGTATGTAATTATGAAAATTAATAGTAAATGATATGCAAATAGTAAAATCATATCTCCATATTAACTAGCTACTAAGGATATAAATCAATAACTTTGAATGATGACTCCATATTTTCTGCATCTAAGTGTATTCAAACTTAGTGGAACCCATTTTTTATACTTTTTAGGTACCATCTCTACATATAAGAGAATATCACTAATTACTGAAATTGAGCACATATGATAGTTTAGCATGATGGATAGCAATATAAAAGTTTTGTAAAGATCTATAGAACTTAGACCACATCTACAAAATCAGTTAGTTGTCTGGTGGTTGTAGAGTTGCACAGGTAACCCAAAGAGGTATGTGTCTGGCTGTTTAAAAACACCTGCAGGTTTGTAGGAAAAGGGTAGTTACCCCTCACTTGTGTTTTATAGTGTTGTTCTTGTTAGATGCCACTGAACAGACAACCGCTCCTAGCAACCCTATGAACCTCAGATCTTAACCTTATCCTATCATCCACCATACTCACCCTCTTTGTTACAATCCATTGATACAGTCACTGTGTCAATACATCTTGGGGGGGGAGGGGTTTCTTCTCCTTCTCTCTGATTCCACTTTTCTCAGTACTTTTGTCATTTTTCTCAGTCTTTCTCTAGTCAAAACTGACCCATAGATTATCCTCTAGCACAATTTCAGAGGCAGTTAATCACAGAGGAGGCAGATTGCTTATCTTTGTCCCACAGAGAAGTGGGTAGATTCTAATTACATACCTGCAGAATTAATTGCAGTGTGTCCTCTTACCACTAGGCTACCAGAGCTCCCTCACAAAAATAAATAATATTAAATTTAAAAAGAAATTACCAGACATAAAAACAATACAAAATTTTTAAAAGTTCAGTACTTTTGAAGATATATATAAATACTTTATATATATATATATAAATTTTGTTATAATAAAGTGTTGAGATTGTATAATATAATACATACATCATTTCCATATTTTTAACGTTATACATTATGTGTATTTTTATATTAGATATATAAAATCATGTCTCTACTTTTATGCTTTTGTATATATGATTAAACTGCTCTTCATTGTATGTACTTAAAATGGCATTGAGATGAGGGAGGTCATATGCTCTGTACTATGAGTGGTCGACTTGCTTTTGCTGTTCTCGAGTGTTGTTTCAGGTCAGCATTCATCATCTCTAACAAATAAATGATCAAGTTAGCTCTCCCTGGTAAATTGTTTTTATTCAGCTAAATTAAATGAAAGGTCTTGGTGAAATTTTTATTGTAACCCTCAGATAAATTTGTTCCAGAGTTCGGAGAGTTTCTGAAATCATTTAAATCACCTCATGACCTGCCAAAACTCATCAGCTCAGGACTAAAACTGCTCAAATTCTCCAAAGATCCCTGTAATACAGACACTCTCCTCAGGCTTTTCCTTACACTTGTACTAGACTTTTGGAGCGTTTAAGCTAGCTGAACCTGCTTAGAAGGGAATTACTTCAACTTCAATGATAAGAAGCAATTGAAGTGTACTTATTTCAATACTTTTATTGAGTATTTGAAATCTTTCACTGGAATCAAAGTATCAAAACCATAAATGTACACAAACTTAATGTGTGAAGTACGGGGTCCCCCCTACTTAACATTTTCTATTAATCACAGGGTGAATGCTATTCCCAATTATTGTGATTTGTAGTGGAGTCAGTTCTGACTCATGATGGCCCCATGTGTACAGAGCAGAATTGCTCCATAAAAGTGTCAAACATCTGTCTTTTGAAATACATGTGGATGAGTGTGAACTGCAGACATTTAAGGGCAGTAGTATGTGCTGTCAAGTTGGAACTAACTCTTAGTTAAAACCTCCAGGAGGTTTTCAGAAGCAGTAAATCCAATGGGAGGAGATTGCCTATCCTTCCCTCATGGAGCAGCTGATGGATTCAAACCATGTGCTTCTGAGACTGCAGCACAATTTCTTACAACTAGACCATGAGAGTTCCCCTGGTATTTATACTGTGGACCACAAGGAACTCTCACAAGTAGTTATGCAGATATCCACAGAAGGTTCAGAATTGTCTGGCCAAGGGTTTTAATATTTGACCTCAATTCCCTACTGTCATCCTCCCATACTTAATTCCTAAACAAATTATGCTGGTTATATTTGGGCCAATAATGTATATCATTTGGAAAGTGTGATGACCTAGTGCATAAGGAGTTGTGCTACCAATCTGAAGGCAGATTGTTCGAATCCACGAGCTACTGTTTGGGAGAAAGATGGACAGTCCCCTCTCATGTGATTTACAGCCTCTGAAAATACCATCAGAGGGTCAGCTATATGCCAGTTCTGACTTAATGGCATAAATAAACAACAACAATATAAATAGAATTTATTGTCCTGTCTACAATACCCTTAAGAGAAGAAAGAAGTATTCTTATTAATTGAACCAGTACAGCAGGTAAACCAGAACTGTTCTGGGAAAACTAGAACATATGCCCTGTTAATGCCTTGTAAGTTTTCTGACATCAGCGTAATCCACTGTAACCTGTATTGAAATGAAAGATGCATGAATGGTCATTGAGTAGATTGGATTTGGAGCTAATCCTATTGGATTTCTGTTCTGATTTTTCAAATGTATGTAATAATAGTTTCTTTTCATAGCATTCAATCTCTCCCCCAGATACGCAATACAAAATTTATCATGAGGAAGATGTGACAGAAAGCAAAGCTCAGATAGAATGAGATAAAAAAATCTGGCTAAGTTACTGCTATTGAATATGTTTCTCTTTCCTAATTAATAAAACTAATGGGTTATATTATTTAGTCATTCTGATCTTTACGATGAGTGAGCCTAAGAAAGCCCAAGAGTCAGCATAATCTTATTCAACACTAATGAAGGGAAAAAAAGAAGAAAAAAAATGTTTATGAACCAGAGCATTGGGGGACAAATTATATTTTGAATTTCATCAATAAAAAATGTTTGTAAATGTGTGAAGGTTGATTTTTGCCTCTTCCTGTTATAGAAAAAGCTACATAACAGCCTCCTATTTGATTTTGCCTCCTAGCCTCCAAACCAAAATATTTACTGTCTGATCTTTCAAGAAAAGTTTGCTGAACTTGGATCTATGATTGTTGAAATTAGTTTTGTTTCAAAACCAAACACCCGTACAACTTCAAGATATGACTCATTTATAACCTTTGCCTTTGTCACTGTTTAAATTCAGATGTGCCCCTGGCTACACTGGGAGCCCAAGCAGCCCAGGAGGTTCCTGCCAAGAATGTGAGTGTGACCCTCATGGTGCACTTCCTGTCCCCTGTGACCCTGTCACAGGACTCTGCACGTGCCGACCTGGAGCCACGGGGCCAAAGTGTGATGGCTGCAAGCCCTGGCATGCACGAGAGGGCGTGGAGTGTGTTTGTACGTATACTAACTCAGCTGTTAGCTCAGGGGGGCTTGGTCCTCACTCTTGTCTTGTTTCCAATGAGGAAGAGTGGCTTTTTTTGTTCCCTTTCTTACAATAGCTCAGACTGCTCCTGGTTCCTTCTGACACTGTCTCTCCACCTTCTGTTATTCACCTGCTGATCTTGTCTCCATCCTGCTGGGCCAAGAACAGCTGAGAAAATCCTCAGCATGCTTCAGTCAGTTCATTGAAGACCCACAGTAAAGCTCCTGAAGGCACAGTTTATTTTTATTTTTTTTTATTTTTGTTCATCTCAGGGTTTATGGTTTTTCCTAACGTTGGCAACGCCTTTGTGACAGATGAAAGATCCGAGTATATGAATGTTTTTAGAATCCTTCTGAATTTGTAATCGGCTAGACTGATACTTTATGCCTTGAATTTACAATGACTTTTTGTGTTCTCAGCTTTTAAGGAAATCTATAGGTACTGCTGTCTTACTTTCTCTTTGATTACACAAACTAGAGGCAGCAGAATGAACTCTAATATCTTTACCCACGTAGCAAAAAGAGAAAACTTTCAACTCACTTATAAATGTTTCTGACTTTGGTGATGGCATATTGAAAAAACACATCAAATATTAGTAAATAAATAGAGTTCTTGTATCTTACAAATATTCCCTATAAAATGTCTAATTATAAATTTATGGACAAGGTTTTAAACTATGATAGTCTTTCTTTTCCTTAAGAGAATTTTTAGTAGTTGTGATAACTCTTCTTAACCAATAAAATTTAAATTAGTTTAGGATATTCCAATAATTAGTCATTTTAATAGATTACTACAAATCAGTGTCTTTTATCTTTAACATCATATTGTTGTTATGTGCTTCCAAATAAAAATTGACTCACACCTGACTCCCCAGCAGGTTTTCAGAAGTTGTAAATTGGACATGAGGAGATTGGTCATCTTTTTTCTATGGAGCAGCTAATAGATTTGAAGCCTGTGCCTTTGGGTTGGCAGTGCAATTTTTCACCACTAGACCACAAAGTGTGTGTGTGTGTGTGTGTGTGTGTGTGTGTGTGTGTATACAACTTGGGTTTTTGTACTATAGTTTTATAACAGTTGACAGTAATACAATGCTGGCTTAAAATAGATGCCTAAAAATTAAGACTAAATATCTTTGGGCAAATAAGCTTTGTAAACAGTTTTTCTTTGCATTTCACTCATCTTTAATGGTAACACATTGCATTTGGAATGCTGTCTTCTTAAGTCAAAGTTAAGGTTAAAGATTAAATGTAGGCACGCTCTTGTGGTCTAGTGGCAAGAAGATGCACTGAAATCCCAGAGGTAAGCAGTTTGAATCCATCAGATGCTCTGCTGGAGAAGGAGGGACAACCCCCTCCTGTACCAGTCAGTTCTGATTTGACAGTACACACACACAAAATAATAAAAATAAAGTTTTTTTTAAAAAGGTTAAATGTAATGTATGATACACAGTATATTCAGATTTTAGTATAGACGCATTCACTCTTCTCAACTATCATGATATATTTTAATGACAATTGGTGAAGTAGACTACTAATCTCATTAGGCTTAATATTGTTTATAAATTAAATGACGTATACACACACACACATAATGAGCTAACCTAGTAGCAAAGAATGGCAACCCAACAGCATGTGGTTTGAATCCACCAGCTGTGCCACAGGAGAAAGATGGGAAATGTCTTCCTGTGGGATTTGCTGCTTCTAAAAACTCAGCAAAGGATAAGCTGTGGGCCTGTTGTGAGGATAAGCTATTGATCCGTTCTGACTCAAGAGTACACAACAACAACAATTCTACACATACACACACACAGACACACACACACACACACACACACACACACACCGAACTCTGGTGGCCTAGTGGCAAAAAGCTGTGCTGCAATCCTGAAGGCATGTGGTTCAAGGCCACCACCAGCTGCTCCACAGAAGGAGGATGGGCAATCTCCTTCCATGAGATTAACTGCCACTGAAAACCCACTGGAGGGTCTGCTATGGGTCAGTTTGACTTGACAGTAAACAACAAAAAACAACAATTACACACACACACACACACACACACACACACAGTATCTGGAAGAAGAAAGCTTCAATTTTATTGTCCTCGAGTTGAAGCGAACTTCTAGTTGACTTTCCCTTGGGTTTCCAAGGCTGTAAATCTCACAAGAGGAAGAGATTGCCTGTTTTCTTCCACCTTTGGGTTTACAGTTCAACTCTGTATGGAAGCTACCATAGCTTCCAAGATCATATAGATTCTGTGTGTGCTTTCAAGTTGGAACCAACCCATAGGTGACCCACCAGCAGGCTTTCCGAGGCAGTAAATCACACTGGAGGAGCTTGTCTGTCTTTCTCCAGCCAAGCAGCTGGTGGATGTTCTCACCGTGTTCTCTCACACAATATTTGGATTAGCACTGCATACCTTTGTGTTGGCCACGGAACCCTTTATGTAGATACTCTTAGTTTTTAACACTAATATAAATAATCCTTATCATTTAATGGTTTAAATAATAATTCAGCATTAAATGTGAAATAAGAGAGATTCTATTTAATGTGAAGCACACAATTTAAAAATAAAACATTCTAATATTAGACACATAAAATGATGGGACAATGTTCTGAACATTTTCAGAGTACTGTCATTATGCCCATCAATTTTAAAACAATAGTCCAACTCAATTTTTTCAGCTTTTTAACTCAAATTTTAAATAAAATTATTATACAAAAATCAATTTATTTTTTCCTGTCACATAGTAGGTTTCTAGTACTTGTAAAACCCACATGATATTGACAAAGATTCCAATATTCTGAGGATAGCATCACACCAATGTTATTATGTTCAGAGTACTTCATGCTTATTCCAGATGACAATGGCTTTCCAAGCACATCCATTCCATTCAATTCAGCTGCTTTGTCCTAGAAATTTTCATATTCTTCTGACTATATTAGTCATCATTTTAATAATTTTTATTTAATTCATTTTAATGATTTTTTCCAGCTCAAAAGGTGCTATATTATGGAGTTGTTTTTAGCTGTATCTCTTTACAAAATATTCATAATTATGCTGGTAGAATTCCATCTCCATCATGCTGTTCTGAAGGTACAGTGATATTAACTTATTTCTAAGAGGGTTTCCTCTTAACCCTTTTTCATTTCACACTCATGAAGGATATCAGTTGTTATTCAGAATCTCTTTATACTGCTTTGATCTCTAGTTTCATTGATTTCCCCTTATTGTGGAAAAAATATCCACGAGTCTATTACCATCATCTTTCCAAGACTCGGTTTATCTACTTCTGAAATAAGGTAAAAACCAAGACACTAAGTGAACACAAGAGCTCAGTTAATCACAGCAGAAGACCAAAGAATTGATTCACCTGGTACATTTGACCTGCACGGTTTATTCTATCATAAGTGATCATAGAAGATTTTTTATAAGGTCTGGGGATGTGATTCAGGGAAAGTAGCCTGGCTCAGGCCAGAGAATATATACGTTGTAAAAGAAATGTTCTCTGGTGGCTAACTGTAGAACAGATGTTTCTTTTGTAATATAAAATACACTGACACTTAGTATAGCAACATGTGCATATGCATAAAAATGTACTCCTTTTTGTTAATTCTTCTGGAAGTATAGTTTAATTTGACTCATATCAAGGGTTTGTGTTGTACCTATGTATCTCCCCAGTCTGTTAAAAATAGTGTAAAAAAAGATCTAGATATGATCATTGCATTATCTCAGATGAACTCCATATTATGCCATAAAGATATTCACTGCTTCACTACATTTTTAATTTATTGAGCAGTTCTCTCTCATTGCCATTGAGCTGAAACCAACTCAGAGTTGACCCTCAGTGGGTTTTTCAGGTTATAACTGCACAAGAGGAGCTAGCCCATGTTTCTCTCACAGAGCTGTGGTGAGTTCAAAACTCCAGGGAGGTTTGGCTTTGGGGTTATAGAATAAATTATATAAAATGAAGGTGAAGAAATCTAAAATAGAGCAAATAAAATTATCATGGGAGAGCTTTGCATGGCCATAAATCCCATGAATGGGACTTAAGAATACCAGAGATAATTTATGTGAATAAGACCAGGTCTTACTGGATTCAAAATGGTGAATCTCCTGCAAGGAGACATAGTCCTTTCTAAAAAGGATGTTCATTAAGATCTTGAAGAATATAAATACAAAAAAGGTGTCTTTATTAATAAATATTTAAAGACACAAGAGTCTCTCATAATTAATGAGCCAAATTCAACTAAGATCCTCTTTTTCTGGGAAAAACACCAGAATCAGTTCCTCCTTGCCTTTAGCTTCTAGCTATTAACTAAACTCCTTTTTATTTACACAGAGTTTAATCAAACTCCCTCACTCACTCCTTTAGATATAGTTCAGATTCAAAACAATCTTCCATTGGGTTTCCGAGGCAGTAAATCACAACCAGAGGAGGCTCCCCATCCTTCTCCCTCCTGGCCTCTGATTTGAGACACCATAGATACATAACTTTTGGGTTTTAATACAACTCACTATGGACTATGTATGCCACCAAAATTCTCTTTTATTTTAATAGTAATGTTTTAATGAGCTTACCGTTTGTCAGACACTGTATTAAACACATGTTAGTCTTATAACTTTTGGAGCATTCATTTTCATTATTACCTCCAATGTGTGAAAACTAATCTTACATGGTTTAAGTAACTTTGCCCAGTGCTACATGGTGGGTTCTCTATGGTCATAATTTGAACTGAGGTCTGTTTTGCAAATCTTATTTTCTTGACACCAATCATGGCTGCCAGTGCAAGACACAGAAAGCAAATTTGGTTTCCCTGAAATACTCTAGATGAATCCGTGCTGTACTTTATTCATTTATTTCTTCTGGACTTAGTGACTATAAAGACTATTGTTACTATTGTTATTGTTGACTGATAAATGACCTTGTAGTACATTTTCAGAGCTGATAATTCTCAGGGGAGGAGACTTCCCA